AGTGTAACAGCAATATCATACGTAAATGTTTACAAATAAATATAAGATCAAAACAGACTTTTTAACACATGAGAGTTTATTGCATGCAATTCCAAGATCCTGAAGGTAAAGTTGCTGATGATGCAGATAATGCATGTGAACAATTAAAAAGCAGTACCTCTGGTCTTAATTTTACAGTGAAAACATGTTAATTTTTCCAATTTATTGGTCAAAGTACGGTATGAGAGTCCGGTATCAATCCAAAAATGGAATGATGCGGGATAAGCAAATCAGACAGATTGAGGAAATATTCGAAAACTACCATGTAGAACTACAATGAAAGAGAAAATGAGAAATTTCCAATTTAAAATTTTACATCGCAATCTTACCACAAATTATTACTTTTTCCAAAACAAACGTACAACTAATAATGAATGTGAATATTGTAAACAATTAAGTACCTATTCTGAGAATATTTTGGAAATTAATTCAAAATTGCTGGAATTTTAAAACGAAAGAAGCACTAACTTAGGAGAATATATTATTTGGAATCCCAGAAGAATCTGCTCTATTGAATCACCTCATTTTAATGTTGACACACTGCTATGGACGATATTTACAACGAATGTTAGTTTTTCACTCATTGTGATTTTTTATTATTTGTTCAGGTATCTGTAATGATGTCACTGAATGGCAACACAATGCCACGAAAGAGCAGATACATGGCCAAGGGGCCGCCTGACGGTGGATGGGGATGGATGGTTGTTATTTCTGCTTTCCTAGTTCTCTTCGTTGTCAGAGGGATACAAAATTCAGTTGGAGTCTTTTTCGCCGTGCTTTTGGATTATTTCCAAGAAGGAGCTGGTGCCACATCATGGATGTCAGCCTCTATATCCGCTGTTAGTTTGTGTATGGGTAAGTATGGGACCTATGCTGTCATTGTTTCTAATTACTTGTCTATATATATCTTCTCTGAGCCCTCAACATAAATGAAAAGAGATGTAATTTTTTTAAATCTCCTGACAGTTAACTTTGCAACATTGTTTCATCATTAGGTCCATTCGCAGCGGCGTTAGCAAATCGTTTTGGACATCGCATTGTTGTCTTTGTTGGAGGACTATTAACATCCATCTCCATAGTCATGAGTGCATTTGCTCCGAATATTATTTTTATAAGTGTTACATTCGGTTTCTGCACAGGTGAGTCTGTAAGCTATATAAAACAAACGTGGCATTCATTTTCCACATATAGGTGATGCAACCCTATAAAACTTATTTGTGTTGTAATTTGTGGGCCTGCACGAAATTGTGTCAAGCTAATATTTCCCAACAAATAATTTTACATGATTCAATCTCTTTCTCTGAAAAAAACAGGTGTTGGATTTGGTCTAGCTCGAGTTCCTGCTGTCGCTATGCTTGGGAAGTATTTTAAAAGAAGGCATGCCATTGCTAGCGGGCTTTCCGTGGTCGGAACTGGCTGTGGAGCTTTCATTATCTCGCCGTTACTCAGATCATTAATCAATGTCTATGGATGGAGAGGATCGTTCATTATTCTGGGAGGTATTTCGTTGCACATGTGTGTGAGTGGGGCTCTTTTGAGACCAATTCATTTTCTTGACGATAACGAACATTGTGAAGACGAACATATATCTGATAGTAGGCGTAAGGAAACGTATCCTAGTTATGAGGATAAATCAAAGCTATCATGTCTTCGTACAAAAATCAATGGCATTATGAACTTCTTTGAATTATCACTGTTGAAGAATCACATGTTTGCCATGTTATTGGTCAGCGATGTCTTTTTTGGATTCGGAATTAATATTCCTGTAGTACACATAGTGAAGAGAGGTCTGAATGTTGGCCTTGACCATGGTGATGCGGCATTCCTACCATCGGTCTTAGGATTTTGCATGATGTTTGGTGCTCTTGGCCAAGGGTTTGTTGTCGATGTATTACATTTGTGCAAGATACGATCACTTGCGGCTTCAACCATTATATATGGACTAAGTACTTTGATGTTAACTCTTGCACACGACTTTACTTCTATGTGTGCAGTTTTGTCGACAATGGGCTTAGCTAGAGGAGTGTTCGCTTCTTTGAATTCCGTTGTGGTTAAAGTCGTCGTGGGACAGAAGAAATTCACAAGTGCTTACGGTTTAACACTTCCTTTTATTGGGATAGCACAACTAATAGGACCTGTAGTTGCAGGTAATGATTCAAAAAGTCTAATTATTAACGACATTTTTGGAATTTGTGCATTCTAACTAATACAGTTGTATTAGATGATAAATTTGGCCTCATCAAAAAAATGAAAAACTTTTATACTAGAATATTACCTAACAATAGCTGTCAGACCGAACAAATCAGTGCCAGGCCACTCTCTAAGCGGAATGAAGGAAGCCTACATTACAATCCACGACCTACATTAATATATGCAATTAATGGATTTTGAACGTATTCCACCTCTCTGAGGGTATTCCAACTTTTTCTATGCGTTATATATGTATACTGCTATAATTGCATATTGCTATTACTTGTTTTACAGGATACATGTACGACTATAATGGGAATTACAACGTTTCATTTTATCTGAGTGGTGCTAGCGTCTTACTGAGCGCCGTCATCCTGCTGATTAGTCAGTTTGTGTGGTTACGAAGCAAAAAAAGTGAGGCTATATTAGACACAGAAACGAATAATGACGAAACGATCAGCCATGTTTTGGAAATCAAAGAGGGTTATGTGGTACGCTACCTCCCTAGGAAACAAGCTGAACTTCTAGCGCAGTCTGAGGACTTGTCTGATATTGATGATGATGACTGTCTCGAATGTGTTGGGGCTATACACATCGAGAAAGACAGTATGTAGCATAAAGGCATATTTATAAACACATACTGTTTTTACAAATATATACTTTGATTGTGTTACCGGCATAAAAATATTTATATAAATGTTTTGCACTTACATTTATATTTAAAAGATATATGTTAATACATTTCATATTTTTATTATGCTTTAAACTGCAAATATTTGATGAATGAATGAGTATTTTTAAGTATTATATTACTAAAATTAAGCTTTGAGGTATAAATTATTATTGTCAAGCTATATGTATTTTGTTTGTAATGAGGGTTGTTTATAAAACGAATAAACAAGACCCAAAAACATGTTTTATTACTCTGAATATCTTTTGTATACATGTTTAGGCAGGAGACATTCACAAAATTGAACCTGCATATGTGTAGTCAAAAACTAAAATAGCGACAAACATTTATATTGTTTAAATATTGTGGATATGTCTTTGTTCAAGTCGTAAAATTTCCATGAAATCATATAAAATCACTGAAAAGCTACAACAAGGTAACACAGGTAGGTTAAAATGTTAAGACCTATATTGTCTGTAAATGTTGTCGTTATTTTTTGCAATTACTGCGTAACATATGTTAGAACTGTATTTAATACAATAAGTCACGCATATTATTGATATTAACATTTGATGTTCCCAACTTATAAAGTGGTGAAAATATGGAACTTTTATATTTTGCTTACTGTATTAAAAAGTGATTTTGTAGCTTAAAAATATATTTTAAATACATTTAAAGCACATTTTATCAATCTATTATGTATATCGTTGATAGTCATTACAGATACATAGTTTCATTCATTCGGAGTAGAATGCAATGATATTACCGACAAAGTTCAGAAGCATCAAATTCCTACCCTGTATTGGGGGGCGTTATACAAGGAACACATGCAAAAAACGTTATGTACACACAAATCTACATATATGTACACCGCTAATCAAAGGCGCTCGCTTTAAAACACCGTCTATGAGCCATCCATCGTCTGACCATTCTCTCGCAGGGCCGTAGTGTATTTAATACTAAATTTTCTCTGTAAACACACACTTGTACTTGTATAAAAAGTTTAAATGGTACAGTGTAGCATCTAGATTTCGCCATATGATTAGAGGAAAAATCATTGTTCCACATGACATGTTGTAAACCAACCTACTTATTTTCTTTTCTTAAATCATTTGAACACATTGCACTATTATCTATAGATATTTCTATTGAATAGGAATTCTATACACTTCAATAGAATAATCTATAGCATTTTTTCGTAAGGGATAGATTCGGTTCCGTTTGTGTTAGACGGTTTTTCATTTCCCATGATGTATTCCCCGCCCGTCACGCCATGACCTAGTTTCAATCACACGGGCATGTTGCAACGAATAGCGTGCCCTTGGCGTGACCCCGATGACTTTATGATTATTCTGTTTAACTGTTAAGATATTTATTGCCGTTATTATCATTGTATTGTCACGTGATTTGTTCCACCTTATTTGTAATTTCTTAAGTATCTTTATTGTTTTTTTGTATATAGCAATTTGTACATACCAAGTAAACGACCCCGATTGACGGAGATCATAGTCGAACTTGGTCAGATTCTAACTCGGCTAGGTGAAAATAGCCGAATGTGAAGCGGTCAATAGTCAACAATTATCACCTTCCATGTCTGTTTCGTGTGTTCATATGTGGTGGCATTTGATTTTCATCTGCTATATCTGCTACAAAACACGACCAGTGACGTACCGTTTCACTGTCATGTTTTTGATTAACTCCTATGACTGTTTTGTTATCGATTTCAGCGACATAAGTTTAAGTCCAACAAATAGAAAATAGAAATCTACAATCTGCCCAGCAACGCTACCGGCTCTCTGACATGTTGTTGATTTCAATAAATCGAATGACTCTTGTCGGTGTCAGGACGCAAGTTTACAAAAAACAGACATTACATCAGCAACCGTATGCCTCTGCTAAGTAAAAAGAACAAAAATAATGTATTAATTTGTAGCCATTTTGTGATTCCTGATGCATTTGATCTTTCAGATCTATGACTCGGACAGTCTGTACCTTGTTAGCAAATGACAAAGCAATTGCTGCGTTACTGAAATCTACAACGACAAATCCATCACCACATAACCTTGCCGAGTCCGACCGTTGGCCGAGTTCTACCACCGGCTGAGTTCGGCAATCACCTTGAAGGTCATGTATTTCAAGTGTGTGTTGGTTGTATTGAAAGAGACCCCGCCAGTGGCGAATCATCGGATCGGTATAGATTTCTTTCCTAAGAGCCAAGAGCCGATTAACATATCAACCGGTGAAGGGTTTATACCAATATACCCTGTCGTTAACGTGTTTAGTCACCTAATTCTCATGGAAAAATCTAAGTAATATATGTCAATACATTCAATCCGAATTCGGACATCCTACCACACTGTCATCGCAAATGTCACCGTTGTTTTAGCGCGTATTTGTAATTAAACACTGAGACAGTTCCTTCATCTGGCTTATTGAAGACAGCTCTCATTCGATATTTTGATTTTACAGTTTCACAAGTTGTGGTTTCACTCTCCTAATGAAAAAGCAGTGAAAGCTAGCTGACCGAAAGGTAAGCCTGTGTACATGGCTGTATGTCGGAGGTTAAGAGCATAGAGTCAGGCTATCCCCCTCTATATCCACTTGGGTTGGCCTGAATGTATGTTCATAACCCCCGTAACATAATCGATAGTTCTAAATGCAGGGCTACTCGAAAGGCAGGAGGCAATTGAAACGATGAAGGCGCACATTAGATGTGTTTGAACGTTTTTGTAAAAATTCCAACTATGGATATTTTCCCCTCTGTCGCCTATGGCTACATGATCATGAATAGAATATTCGTACTCTTGACACTTACCAAACATACACAACCAGTACAATAGGAAACAGCGACAACGTTTATTGCGTAGAGACAACTAATCTTCTATTGAACATAAGATTATACATACATTATATACTTAAAAAGGACCTTTGGTAAGTGGCGGGCAAACTTAATTTCGATCGCAATTGGTCCATTCAAATCACCAATGATTGGCCAGCAAAACAAGTTTGTTTCAAGTAACGAAGGAAGTTCTCATATTTGTTATTCGATACGTCTTTATAAATTATTGGAGCCATATATTGCGTAAGTCATGTCGTTTTGTTGCTCATTATTTTCCAAACCAATTGCTACAGTTTCAGACTGACTTATATTTGTTCGAGTTGTTCCGCAGGCTAAATCTTTGAGTAATTGAATACGTGTACATAGTCGCGATCGTATTCTCCTAAAAGCCAGTTTTCAGGAAAACATCTATATGTATATGATAGTAGTGTAATGTGTATTCAATTACAGAGAATGTCTTGCGCATTACCATGTGGTCATTAACCAATCAATCTATTTCAGTATATCGCCCATTCGTCGTAATAAAAGCCTAGAATTACACATTCCCCATAATTTGATTGTTTTAATTTTTGCCTTCCCGTAATAATGATATGAAGGGCAAAAAGGTATGATAGGGGTACTATCGGCGTCGGCTTTGTTAATATTGTTAATGCGTGAAAGATGACAAAGAGATTTTTGTTCAAAAATTTCAAACTTTGTAATATCGATTAAAGCTATAAAATTCAAACATTTAAATTTCGATTGTCCCGTAATTGGTGTAACTATACCGTTAAATATTGACAAAATTGTACTCCAAGTCACTGAGTTTTTTAATTGAATATGCTTGACAACTCGTCATGAACAGACGAGATATGTCTTTAAATGATTTACTTGTTATGAGTGGGTTTGGTGGTATACAAACGGTGTATGTGAATCATCAACATGTTTGTGAATATTAGACTCTTGTCAACGGACTAATGCACATTGCATCTTCAGCATAAAGCGCATTTCATTGAATCACCGACATTATATTCACTATTAGTGAACACGTAATTACCTTTGTTATCGCTCAAATTTTTCAAAATAAAAACCCACATGTTGATCAAGATCATTTAGCTAGTTATTCAAATTTAGTCTAAAATGAATAAAACAGGCATGCGTAGTAATGCTGCAATAATTATCTATATACAGTGTTTATCAAAAACCATGGCGGACTGCAATCAGATTTGATAATTTGTGACGGTATTGTTGATTTATTCTTAGCGAATATTTTTTTTACGATTTTGATAAAAAAAGAGTTTGACATCCGTGCGTGCATACGGACGTCTGTATCCAGACGTAACCCTCACATGCTCGGTCGATCAAGTTTAAACATCACTCACACATCATACATTATACATTGCAGTCCCGAATATATTCCATATATCCGGATATATTCGACATGCCTGGGCCAATAATGGTGAAACATCACATTTGTTTCATGATGTGATTGAATATGGCCGATATACAGTCACGCGATCTCTTTGTATTTTGTATTTGTATGATTCAAAATGACCGATTAGTGACCACCTTGCTTTACGTGTACATCACGTAATGAATTATAATAAATAAATATATAATTGCGTCTCCTACTTTAAGTCGATAAACTTTCTTATGTGTTTTGTGCTGAGCTCCTTTGTTATGTACAACAGCAAATATTCTTTCTGGTAACCAGAGAGGGAACAACCAACACGCAATTACGAGAGTAAAACATGCAAAACTTGATGGATTATGTACGTTGCCACATGTAATATTAGAAAACATGTAGTAATTTAATTAATTCATCACTAAATGAACCAAAAATCATGCATAAGAGACATGCCTATTCAGAATAGATAGATTAAAACAAATGTGTGTGGAAAATGTCATATGGCAAAAGGAAGGGAATCATATTTGCACTATATTTCGAAAGTTTAGTGAGAATGGTGTGGTAATTAATAATACTCGACATTGTAATTGGTTACAGTTAACAAAACTTATTATAAATATCCCACAGGACACCACAACACTCGATGATCAGAGTCGTTTCGAATTTTTTAAAGTCTAAAATTCGAGCAAGCACAATTGAATTCGGCTGAAAACGAGCAGCTGGAATG